CTTACCTCTTCGGGAGTCCAGTGACTGGAACGTCTCTTAGGACCACTCGTCCTCCTGAAACATTAGCAGGACTAATAAAAAATCCGAAGCTTTTGGGAAGTTCAAAATGACAACACAAAGGATGTGAATATGATAGTCCTCTCAAATCTCACAATCAAGTATAACTTTCAATTCAATTCATTTTCATGGAAAGTACAGAACAAAGTTAATTTGACCCTTAAAGTAAGGATAGGTGGACATGGGGCCATACTGTGGAAAGGAAAGAGATTACTATATGTAGTTCCTTAAATTGAACTTTAAGAACTTATATCACATTTGCTATTGGTGTGACACGGCAAACTTGTCATTGTTTTTTTCTTCTGTTCCCCATTTTTCTACTTGTTTTCATGCAGTTTGTATATTTATAACTACTAACTACGTATTGAAAGCTAAAGAATCCAATGTAACTTGACTAAACCTGAACAGACCTTATATATTCTTTTCCATGTACTACTGACGGGGATGCACCAGGCAGACTAACGGTTTGAGCATTAGACAGCTATTTTTGTCATTGAAAAGCATAGATATTATATTATGTCTTCCAATATGGACCTACTTTTTTTTCAGATGCATCTCTGATATCTAACTACCTAGGATAAGTCAAAGAAACCAATGTGACTTGACCAAATCCAACTCGATCTCAGATCAACATCATTTCCATCTTATGTGCATGAATGAACAACCAGATTAAGGGTTTGTGTAAATTAGAAGAAAATCTCAATACGGAAATTACAAAAGCACAAAATGAAACCCAAAAAAAATGAAACAAGAGATGAGATGATGCAGTCTTTGAGAATTACCCATGCAAAGGCCGAGAACTTTGCAGACTACTGATATCATCTGAAGGAGTGTTGCTTGTTTCATCACTTTCCATGGTTGCTTGAGACAAAGGCAAATCTTGATAATCCATCCAAAGGTCTAAAATTCTCTACAAAATGTCTCCCCAAGTACATTATGTGTCACCCCCTATGATGTAAGAGATACTATCTGATCTTCTGAGAAAACATGATGAACTGTTAAAGCACAACAGATAATGTGATGGCTTCTATGGAGCTGATTTGAAAAGCATGGAATAATAGCATCTAAAGCATTATAATGCATTCAATACGAGCTAAACTTTTAGAATGAGTAACCTGGATTACTGCTAAAAATTAAACAAAACAAGGAAAATCCCTAGCACCAAAAAAGTAGTCTATGCAACGGATTTTTTCTTGAAATAAAGAACGAAATCCAAAAGATACTGTTAGCGTATGTTACATAAATGTGTAAACATTTTCACCTCAAATTTGCATAGTTGAAAAATACAAGGCAATATATCAAATACAAGAACATTTTGGAGAAAATTAATGTCCTTTGAGTACTAGTTAAATTTTTAAACTGAACTCTCATAAATTACAACAAAGAGTCAAAGTTAACTAGGAAAACTACTTAATCTCTGGTCTCTACATCAAAATGCAGGCTGCACAAAAGCTTCTTAAGTAACACCAAGCAAGAAACTATGCATCCTGTGTCACAGTACCATGTGGATAAAATTTGCATAAATGAAAAATACAAGGCACAAGTCAGTAGTAAAGAATTTAGCGAAAATTCTGAATCATCTGAGCATTAGTGTGTTAAAACCCCAAATGAGCTGATATTTGATCTAGGACACCAAAAAAAGAAAAATTAGTTGATAAACAACTTGAAACCCTCAATTGAAGCTTGACTGCAGACTAGTTTGAATTAGTTTGTTAGTTACCCATTCCTTATTATACGAAACCTTCTTTTCATGGTCCAGAATTTCTTTCAATGTCCCATCCCAGCATCCTCTCTACTTTCTTCTAAGGACAACTATGTAGCATGTCATTTAATACAATTCACCACATACGTCTAGCCACCCAAAAATGCAACATATGTATTACTTGTTTGAACATCTACATATAAAGCTAGTCTAACATATGTAGTCTTTCTCTTACTCAAGTTTTCAATGTCTGAATCACTCTCTTCACAACCAACCAAATGAAGAATTACACCTAGCACCCTAGGAATTCAAACTGAAACATGTGGAATATACTGATCCTCTCTCACAGAAAGCTTTGTGGTAATATGATTTTAGTGAAAACGTGTAATCACTTCTCAATCTCCATGAGTCCTGGCTAGTACCGAAATTACCGAAGCGAAGTTTTCAATACCATACCATCCCCACCCCTACTTCCTATCCCTTTATGTTATTACTCCAAAGTCTGCATCCATAAGGTAACGTAATGCTTTTTATCCTCCACCCCCCCCCCCCCCTCCCATGAGTCCAAGTAAACACAATGAGAAAAATTCACTCGATTCAGACTTAGTGAAAAAAAAAACAAGGAACGTATCTTTAGAAGCGATATAATTAGTTAGATAAAGATTTAGCATGCTTACTTTAGACCTACAATATTCTAGGGGTCTTCTTTAGTTTATTAGATATTTATATGTCAACAGAAATTGTAGAGAACATCTTGTTTAAGAAACTCAAATTACTGAACATAGGAACAAAATGGATCCCAAATGAAGCTATATAGAAAGTTAGCATTCCCATAGGTGGCCTTAATTAGTTTGAGATTGAAGCGTAATTGGTGTTGCTGTCATGGTGATTTCCATGTTATGGAAGTATCTTAACTTTGTAACTTAAATCAGATCACTTCACTGGGTATTCTTTAATTCCAGGTTCAATAACATCTTGTTTAAGAAACTCAAATTACTGAACATAGGAACAAAATGGATCCCAAATGAAGCTATATAGAAAGCTAGCTTTCCCATAGGTGGCCTTAACTAGCTTGAGATTGAGGCGTAATTGGTGTTGCTGTCATGGTGATTTCCATGTTATGGAAGTATCTTAACTTTGTAACTTAAATCAGATCACTTCACTGGGTATTCTTTAATTCCAGGTTTAATCATCAAATCAAATCAGGCTTCAAGATGCAATTTTTATATGAAACCCGAATTTGGATTTTTTTTCAACAATTCAAGGAAATTCTCAATAACATTTCGAACAAAATGAACAACAACAACATACCCACTGAAATCCCACAAAGTAGAGTCCCCGGAGGATAAAGTGTATGCAGACCCTTACCTCTACCTATTTCCGAAAGACCCTCGAACAAGTGACATTAGCTAAAAGAATAAAAGGCATAAAATTTTAACCAATCAACAGCAAACCCATACTAAAATCAGATCATTTCAGGTATGATCATCAAATCAATTAGGCTTCAAGATGCATTTTTTATACAAAACCCATTCAAGATTTGATTTTTTTTCAGCAATTCAAGAAAATCCTCAATAACAATTCGAACTAAATGAACAACAACAACATACCCACTGAAATCCCACAAAGTAGAGTCTCGAGAGGATAAAGTCTACGCAGACCCTTACCTCTACCTGTTTCCTAAAGAGCCCCGAATCAAATGACATTAGCTAAATGAAATAAAAAAGCACAAAATTTTATCCGATCAACAGAAAACCCATACTAAAATCAGATCATCAAATCAAATTAGGATTCAAGATGCAATTTTTATACAAAATCCATTCAAGATTTGATTTTTTTCCAACAATTCAAACTTAAACACCAAGATTTTTTAAAAAGATTCAGAAAAAAGTTGTACTAACTGAAATGAGCTTCGAAGCATTCAACTGAATCAGATTGAAATTCCAAGAAATCAATGGTGTGATGAACTCAGCAAGATCTGCAAATTCTGAAGAATTTGGGGTTATGGCGTGGGGTGGGGTGGGGTGTGAGAGGGGAGTGGGTGGGTGGGGGGTTTATGCATTCAAATTATGACAGAGAATGCTAATGAAAATGAAAAACCCTATGATTAAACCGGTTGCCGGTAAATTATTAGTTGACGAGATTATCTCAACCGTTTGATTGTATCTGTTTTTAGTAACTATTCAAAATTTTCAAGTCTAACGGTAAGTTTCTACTTGCTACCTGTTTCTACCGGCTCTCTCCCTTTTTTTTTTTGGTTTGTAATCATAAATACAAATATTCATTTCTTAATTGTTTAATCATAAAATCTAAAAAAATTTAATATCTTCAGATAAAGTTTGACCATGTGTTCGGTCATAGTTTTTGAGGAAAATATTTAATTTTTGTAAAGAATTGTGACTTATATTCGGAAGTTCTAAAAACTATTAAAAATACACTTAAGTTTGTTTTATCACTTTATAATGAACATATTTTGTGATAAAATTGAACTCATAAAGTATAAGCTCCGGTCTTCTAATAAAGGAGTGAGTAGCTTGTAAATGGCGAGGTATTTTTATAAGATATAAAAGTTTAAAGTTGATTTTTAATATTTAAAAATTTTCAAAAAATAGAATCTGGCCCAAAATATTTGTCAAAAATATTTAATTTGAATTTATTGTAAAAAATGACAAGTTATATGGTCAAACATTTTTTGCTAGGTTAATAAATTTGAATTTATTGTCAAAAATATTTATCAAAAATGACAAGTTTATGGTCAAACATTTTTTGCCAAATTTTTTTTTATGGTCAAATGAGTAAATATATCACAATCTTATTATTAAATAATTTATTGTATAAAATATTTGAAAAAAATATAATGTGGACATTCTTCAAAATATGTATCATCGATTTCTAATCAAATCAAAATATTTATCGATTTGATTGTTGTCCGTTTGATTTGATTTTTAAGAAATCATATAATATTTCTTCTCCTCTTCATTGTTAAAAGAATCTATTGTACAATATTACTTGTGACACAATATTGTGTCCAAAAAAAAACAACTTATCCCAATCTCCTCTCCATTATTATTCTTGGTGTTCAAAATGTACCAGAATTTCAATATATATGGAAACATTTATAACAGAAAAATTCATTAAAAAGATTAAAAAATCCTAAATAAAAGGATTTCTAGTTGTTAATTTTCTATATTTTGCTCTACTAGAGTAGAAATCTCTAATAGTAAAATCACTATTGATTGTATATAGCTAATGTAGAATGGAACCAACTTGAGGGATCAGTTCCTTTCACACCATTTCTTAAATCCTATATTTGCAAAGGTTTTCGAATCCCATGTATTCATCGCGTTGGATCTTCCCAATCATATTTGAGATCCCGACTCCACCTGTCAAAACGAACAAGCAATTGAATGCAGACACAAGGAGGAAGGACATAGAAATGTCCTACGTGATGATGACTTACTACTACCTCTAAGCATATACAAGTTTAAGTGTCTACTTGTGCAGATTCCAAGTTAGAGGGCATAGATGTCAGTTGAGGACTAGATGTCAGTTGAGGACTAGATGTTAGTTGAGAATGAGCTAGAGAGCACATTTATGTATTATGCCTAAGGGAAAACTAGATACTCACCTAGTGATATTGCGCTCACAAAAATTGTGAAGGCAAGGATGAAGATGATAAGTGATGCCCGACCTAATACAAAAATCAACCTCCTAACGACATGTTGCCCAACGAAAGCAGCAATAGTTGCCACAGCAACAAAGTAGAGAGCTGTAAGAACATACAATTGTCAGTTCTGCATTATCATGAATGAGACTGAACAAATCTGTTTTGTGTTCATAAACTTGAAGAGAATAGTACATACCATAAGGAACTGGGAAACGCTTTAGAAGGTAATACTCCACCACGGACATTGATGAGGAGAACATCATCGCAAAGGTAGCCGTGGCACTTGAGACCTAAGTAAGAGAGATGTGAATTGAAAATGATTTTTCTACATTTGAGGTAAACTTAAAGCTCAGTAAAACATAAGCACGAAAACCAGACGACAGGTTGGTGACAAACTAACCTGAGGAGGGACGCCAAGCTCCAAAAACAGTGGACCCATGATAAATCCTCCACCAAGACCAAGAAGTCCACCAACCATACCAGCTAGTATTCCAAAGGAGCAATAAGCAATCAGTTGTGTCACTCGGAAATCTGTGCCATCATCTCCCTTGGATTGAATCCTTCTCCATCCTTTGTACAGGCTAATAGCTTCATAAAAAGATACCCCAACAGAAACTGGGACCTGCAGGATGTTAAACGAGTTCATAGCGATTGTTAGAATTACTTTGTGTCTTAAAAGTTTGCTTCAACATAATTTGAGATAACCAAATACAAACCTGCAATAAATTCACCACCCAGTACCATGCCGAGCAAGTAGATGTGTAAATCTATTCCAAACATACAAGGCCAGTGAGTTTCCAGATTAGTACTAACCCAAAAAATGATAAATTCAACAATGTCACTCCTATACATCGGAACAAAGCCAAAACGATAAGAAATGAAAACCTTTCCAATTTGCAGTGCTAGAAATGCAACCCAAACAAAACTGAGAAGTCCAAATTCCTTCCAGCAAATGTTCTCCATGATAGGGACCTAAAATAACATGGCTTTATAGAGTTATAATATCAGGAGAAATATAATTCTCCTTTCGAGAGTACTTAGGATCAGTTACCTGTGGTTCAACTGCACCCTTGGCTGGACCGCCAGGAAGGAGCTTGTATTCTGCTTCATCAACCGTGCCTGGCATAATGCAACAAAGAAATAATCTAATCTCCACGAGAAGGAAAATCGAGGTCAAATGCCCTCTAAACTCCTAATACAATAGAAAATTTATTTTCCGAACCTACCATTTGTTCGTAAAAGTTTAGCAGCAGCCTCCTGAAGTAACAAAAAAACAGATGATTAGAAAAACCCAACGGTTCACATGCATGACTAATTTAACACCGTCTTACTAGAATCTGACTCGATAAATAATCTCTGATATTAACTTCATGTGTTAGAATGCAGAAGAAAGAACCAACATAAGCATTAAAGATTCTAACATGCTATAAAAGAACATAAAGTAGTGTACAGATCACTGTATCGCAAAAGCAGGAAATTCCGAGAATATAAAGATGATAACCTTTTTCACAATAGTTTCTTTCTTCCATGTCTCAACACCTCTTAGAAAGGCCTTGGTTGACGTGCCTGTAACAATCGTTTACAATCAAAGTCGTGACTCGTGTAGGAGTAATACCTTAAAAAAACACCAATGCCATATTATGAGAGATGCTTTACCAAAAAAGAGAACAATTAGCAGAACCGTAACCATCCAATCTGCAAATATCACATTGAAAGTGACTCCAATACTAATGCCAAGCATCAACATTGGCTGAATGAGCACAGCCAAGTCATAATCAATAATAGGCATGGCAATTGTGGGATGCCTGAGCTTTAAGTTATAGTAAACAGTAGAGACTGCAGCTCCCATGATCATACCTGTCAACCAGAAACAGAAGTGATGACTCTCTTAACCAGGAGAAAAAAGTTCATAACAGAACATGAGACCTGCTACAACATTCGAGTCATGAAAATAAATATCCAAATGGTCATACAAAATTGTCCCCTAATCTTACATTTTGAAATTGCTGTAGCTGATTTCGGATCAAATCCGACAATAAGACTAAGCATGGGTACGAATATGCCACCACCACCAACACCACCTACACTCCCAAATGCTGCGCCCAAGAATCCAATTGTGGAACCAAGAACAATTTGCCATCCAAATTTCAAATCCTGCAATGACACCCCACATAGTCAACAGCATAAAAGCAGAAATGTGAGTTATAAAAATATCAACAGAGATCAAGGTGGTTATAAACTTAAAGTGATAGTCCATATGAGGCACACCATACGTCACATATTGCATGTGTTCAACAGTCCCAATCATAGCTCAGATTCTCCATGGAGGTCGGTAGCACTCTGCTATGTATAACTCTCAAATGGAAAATTTACATGCTAATTTGGAACATCAACTCCACATCAGCTCAGTTACATGGACATAGTAGTTATGTCCATTCGTTGGGTTCCTTCTCCTAATTTTGTTCATTTCTAACTGAACATCCAAGCTACTCTCTATCTTTTTGATGTCGAATAGTAAGTAAGCACACATCATGACATGCAAGTTTCATGGCTTCTGAAATAAAGGGGAATGAACTAAACATTGCTTCTAAATATGCATGGAAAGAATAACTAAGTGTTCCCTTTCATGAATACTAATAATTTTCTTCCCTTTTGGTTAAGGGTTGCATTCACTCACTAGTAGCTCGATCATAAAGCTTTTCTTATTTGATCAATCAATGGAGCACCTAATCCATTAAAATGAGCTCACTTACAATCACCAACTACTACATATTAATCAGTATTGCTGATCAAACAAATAAGCACAAAACAACAACAACAACTATGCCTCAAAATGCAAAATAGTTGAGATCGACTATATGAATACTCAATATCCATTCTGATTCATTTATAACCTGTTTCATTCCTATACTCAACAAACTAATCAGTCATGAAAAACTAATGATACTTTCAACCTATGTTGCTTGGACGCTTCAAAATTATTGTTAGCACCTGTCCGATCCTCCAAAAGTAGTGTATTTTTTTTTTCCAGGGAGTCCATGCAACATAGGTTCTAACTTGATCCAAGTTAAAAGAGTACCAACAATTCAAAAATCAACATGAAAAACCAAACCTATAATTCCGAAATTTACCGGCCAAACATGTTGGTAACCAGATTCATTAGGCTTCCATAAGAAGTTGGCAACAGCTGAAAGGTAATCTGCATCTGAAAGCTCAGCTGCATTTTGTTCAATAACTTCCCTCTTGATTCTTCTTTCTGCTGATACAAAAATAGCAGCTAAAAGAAAACTCCATAAAATCGACAAAACTGGCCTCAAAATCTTCAATTTTCCTCCAAATCCAGCCATTCCAAAGTCCAAACAAAGATTACACCTTTTCTCAAAAAAAGCAAAAAAAAATCAAGAAACTCCCTTTTTCACCTTTGCAAACACTATACACACAGTATATATCTTTCTCTATCTTCTAACAATTTCAAGATTACACCTTTTTCTCAAAAATCCCAAAAAAAAACTCACCTTTTCACCCTTTCCAAACACTACACAGACTATATATACCTTTTCTCAAAAATCCCAAAAAGCAAAAAATCAAGAAACTACCCTTTTCACCATTTCAAACACTAAACACAAAGAATGTATCTTTCTTTATCTTCTAGCAATATCAAGATTGAAAAGAAAAAAAAAATGTATGCTAAACCAATATATTTAATTTTAACTTAGAAAGTGAGGGATTAAAGATTTGATTGGTTGATGAGAAATGATACAACCAAAGAGAAAGTGAAGTATAAAGATTGTGTCTTTAAGGAAAGAAGAGATATATGTGTGGTGTGAAGGGAGAGGAAGTAGGAGAAAATGAAGGAAAGGGTGAAGGAGAGAAATGGAGTAGAAAAGAGTGGATCTTTGGTCTTTTTGAGTCTCACAATTTGAATGCATGAATCATATATATATATATATATATATATATATATATTGTTTGTGCATGAAACAACAAAGTTTGTGAGTGTCTAACAGTATGTTATATACTTATATGATTGTTTTAATGAATATAAAATTTGATTAGATTGTATCGTTTTTCATCGTTATATAATGTAAAATATCAATAAATTGAATGATAAATCAATAAGAAAAATAGGGTAGGGAAAAACTTATTTTGAGAAGGTAAGATAAAGAATAAAATGAGATTATTAAATTATGAAATAATAAGTAAAGACAAAATAAGAAGAAAATATAAAGGTAACAATGTGGTAACATCAAATCTATCGTTACACGAAATGAAAATTTCCGTCGCTAAAAAATAATTGATTTAAACGATACGATACAATAAAATTTAAGTACCACTCAAGACACATGTTATTTAAATTGATAATACAATGCAATACAACGAGTAACAACCATCCAAACAAGGTGTAAGTGTTCGTTTGGTATGAGGGATAAGGGATAACTAATCACGATGTTAATTTTAGGATGAGTGTTATTTTTATCCCACATTGAGGGTGTGATAACAATCTTAGGATAATTAATCCAAAAATAACTTATTCTCCAACCAAACAAGCCCTAAGTTATAACATTATACATGTGTAGACTATTTTTGGGTGAATGATTATTTAAACTAGCTCATATTATACACTAATTATCCATATAATACATACTATACACTAACTTCTTGAATCTAGAAAACAGAAGGGGAGTCGAATCTAATGTTTATTAGTGATTGTTAATTTTACGGCTTGAATAAATCACATAGAGACAATTTGACCATTGCTTCAAAACTCCATTTTCATTGTTTGATTGTTTCTTGACGATAAGTTTTAAATCTCAATGCATGTGTAGTATTGAAAAAAAAAAAAAGAGTGAGGTAGTACTCTCTCTTTTCATTTTTACTTGTTGTTTACTATTTCAAAAATAAATTTTCATTTTTTACTTGTCACTATTAACATATCAAGAAAAGACAATCTTATTTCTCATGTTTTACTCCTAACATTAATTATTTATTCCTCAAATCATTTTTCAAGACTTAATACTCAATATCAGTTAAAAATGTGATAAAACGATCATGTTAATCATTGTTTTCTTAATATGTGTCTAAGTCTAAATGTCACAAGTATAAGTGAACGGAAGGAATAATATTTTTGACTTCTATGCAGTGAACAAACATACACTAGTTAATTAGTCATCATAGTTGTATTTTTAGATAATTACCACTCGCGATCAGGATAATTACGTGGGTTGAGTTTTCGAGTTTGTATAATTCGCACGTTTGTATAGTTCAAAATTTGTTTAAATTTTGTATAATATAATTTTGTAGGATATATTTTGTATAACTGTTTAAAGTTAAGATGTTTATGTTTGTATAATTTCGTTATTTTGAGTTTATACAAAAATAGCTTAATTATGCAAATGTACCGCGAATTATACAAACAAGAAAGCTTAAACTATAGCTATATTCCATAAACATGCAAATTATAGCTATATAACATAATTAAGTTTATTATATTGACTATTTGCGGAAATTTCTCAAAAGAAAAATCAGTTTGGGCCTGATTAGATTGAAGACAACAATGGACTTCAAACTCAAAGCCCAAATGCTATTAGTGGATTATAACTTATACAGATCCAAATACGGAGTGATATCAGCACCAAATTGAAATTGCTCGGCGCGTTCAAACCACTCTCAGCCGGCGGCGAACTTCCTCCTCTCCGTCTCCTTCTCCGGCAAATCAAGTGGTAAGTTCCTCCTATATCTCTTTCTGCTTACATTTTTCTCTCACGAGGCAAAAACCCTAATCCATTTGATTTCCCTATAATAAGCTCCAAATTGTAAATTGAATTGCAATACTCTCCCTGCATAGAGAAAGCCTAAACTTCAATTTGTGTCTTTCTTTGTGCTTTAATTTCTACGATGCAAAGTATAGCTGGTTCCATGCGGCGTTTAATGAGGAGTGTTGTGGTAGGCTGACGGTCAGGCTATTTTATAGTATTAACTGTACTCTGAAAACTGAATCCCTTGGAGCTGAGTGTGTTCATAGTTAACTGACAGTTTGAAGATGTGAGCTGCACTAATCTGTTTTTAGTAGTAATCAATTTCTGTGAACTCCGATGGTTCTCCAGTGACTAGGAAATGAGCTGTTATTTCAGCTTATTCGATAATGGCTGGTTCAAAGTTGCATCAATCTACATTTGAGTGTTGGTATTAGTAATCATTTTTCTGTGTTGTCCTGTAACATTAATGCGGAAATGATTTGGGACAAAAAATGGATTCCTTTATCCTCATATTGCGAGTTTTTAGTCCTTTGGGACATAGTCCTATGTTTTGAATGATGTACCAAATCCTTCTAATTATTTTTGGCCATTGGCAATCTTAGCTATTTCGATATCAACCAATCTAAAATATCCGTGAAATCTTAATCAGTTCATCCAGATGGGACGTTGAGTCTTGTTTAGTATGTTGGAGAACATGATAATTAGTATTTCTGGTAATGCATACCAATGTTATCTGTAAGACTTGTAGAATGCTTCATCAGCCGCTCCTCTCTATTAGGATAGACTCACAGTCACAGAAAATAAGTCTATTTGAATCTGTGATTTTATCACTTGTAACTATGTTATCTTCCTACACATTTTGAACTCTTGTTTACTGTGCGTATATATATTAATCAGGGAAAACAATTTTGTGCGACCCAATATTGATTGTTCTTGCTCTATTATGGTATCATTGTCTTCTCCTAGTCAAACACCCAACTTTTCAACTTCCACAAATTCTTCTCCTCTACTTCTCTCATTCCAACACCAAATTCTTCTTCCTCAAACCCAACTATGATCATTGGGTTCAATAGGATCAGTTGATCATGAGTCTTCTAATCTCATCTCTTACTGTAATCTTTACCTTATCAAATAAATAAATAATTTTTATTCCTTACTGATGAAACACTATCCTTGGGGTTGGCATTACCATGTCTGAACAGATTTGGGCACCCTTGGAATGCAGCCGGTTTACCTTGTTGTATGCTTAATTTACTATTGTTGGGGTTCATACTTTATTCTCTGAGCCAAATACAACTATTTATTTGTTGCATATCCTGAAGCTGATGCATCGGCAAAGTGTTTTCATCTCTAACATACATTATTATTTGTTATCTTCAGTGTCAGGCTTGGTGAATGACAAGATGAACACTGCAACATCATTATTTAGGAGGTTAAATATCAGAGATTTGGTATCAAGGACACCTACTTATAGTGCCCCTAGTGGTATGTATTTCATTGTGCTCTTTCATGAAGCATCGGCTTTCAAAATAGATAAAGATGACATTTGTTTCAGTTTTCGTAAAACCAACAAATTTGAAAGAATTGTTTAATGAACTGTTTCCATTTTAAAATCTTACTAAACAAATAACTGTTCTTTATTCTCTGTAGGGAGCTGATTTATATTTCTTAGCACTTTGTACTCTTCATTTTCTGCATCTACTGGATGCCATCAATGGAATCAATTGCTTCATCAAACAAAAAGTTTGTGCAAAAACTCCAACAAATGCCTCTAACAAGCTTTGAATTTTCTGATCTATGTTTTGCTTGTGAAAATTTCAGAAGTATCTGGGGATGGATTGAACTTGATGTTTAAACGTTGGGCTACGAAAAAGACAGCAGGATCCACAAAGAATGGCCGTGATTCAAAACCAAAGAATCTAGGGGTGAAGAAATTTGGTGGAGAGGTAAGGATTCTCTTCGTTGATGACATAGAGACCATGGAATTATGTCATTGAAAGAAATTTTAATAAAACCATTGTACACCACTCATGCCTTCAAGGAAATTCCTTGCGCTCTTTAGTATTCTTACTCTAATACCAATTTTCGGATGCAGAGAGTGATACCTGGAAATATTATTGTTCGTCAAAGGGGAACCAGATTTCATCCTGGAAACTACGTTGGAATAGGGAAAGATCACACACTCTATGCTCTGAAAGAAGGTTGTGTCAAGTTTGAGCACCACAAGTTGAGTGGTCGCAAGTGGGTTCATGTTGAGCCCAAGGATGGCCATGTACTTCACCCAGTTTACTCGAGTACTGCAGCTCCCGAGCTCAACACAGCAACTTAAGCTTCTCTAACCGTTGAGTCATTCATGGAGCACGAGTATAATAACGAAAACGATCTGAGGTCATTTCAGAAAGCAGCCCAGCCCCTCTACATTAAAGCTAATGAAACCAAGTTATTTTTGCCTTGTATTCTCCAGTTCATATTTCACTTGTTTGGAATCAATGCACTTATTGTAACTGGTAAAGTGCAAAATAGTTCAGTCGATGAGCTAAAAAAAACAAACAGCATCATCTACGCTACGTGTGGTGTAGTGGTGAGACTGTTTCACTCTTAACCCGAGGTTTGTGGGCTCGTATATGCTAAATGAAAAACAAATAGAAAGGAACAATAAGGATTCCTTATTGAAGTTAAGGAGCACCACATTTTGTTGGGCAGACAGTAGAAAGTAGTACAACACGCAAAAGCGATTAGTACCTTCCATTCATTTTTTATTCGTTCGATTATTTTAAAAATAGATTTTTATTTTTTACCTGATTATTTTAAAAATAAATTTTTAATTTTTACTTGTTAATTTTAATATATTAAAAAAATAATTTCTTAAATTTTATTCTCAATATTAATTACTTATATCTCAACTAAATTTCCAAGACTAACACTTTGTTTGGATGATTGTTATGCGTTGTTTCATAATGTATTGTATTTTATTGTACAATATTATTTTAATGAATATAATGTTTGAATAGATTGTATCGTTCTCTGTCATTACACAATGTCACACATTCGTAACTTGAATGATAAACCTATAAGAAAAAGTAGGGTAGGGGGTTGGGCTACTGTAAAAATGTAGGGTAAAAGATGAAATATAATTATTAAAAAATAAATAAAGACAAAATGAGAAGAAAATATTAAGATAACAACGCGATCACACCATATTGATCGTTACATAAAATGACTCTTTTTGTGGTTACCTAACGATGGATTTAAACAATACGATGCAATAGAATTTAAGTAACAATCAAAACAAACATTGTATAAAGTCAAACTATCCGAACTTTTATCAATATTTTAAGATGTATTTTTAATTGTATTATATATAAAAATAATTGTAACTTACAATATTTTTTATTATAATCTTCGAACATCAAAATTTAAAATATTGAGTTAATTTAGTACAATTTAATTTCAAAAATTAGTTAGGTTGACTCTCGTAAAATGATACTAAACAGATGTATGATAGAATTTTTTTAAATATTTAATTGTTATTATTTTTAAAAATGTGTGAACAAGTAAAAATGAACGGAAACGAGGATATTTAATAAGAGTGGTAATAATTGGGAGAGAAGAAAGGGGAAGAAAGGGTTGTTTCATTGGGATTTATTTTGTCAAAGAAGGGTCAAAAGAAGGCAAAATTAGCAGCAGCCATCAATATTCAATCTTCCTTGTGCATTGTGTATTAGGTTTGGATTTTTTACATGTTGCGGTTGTGGAAATGGTACCAAAATTGCTTGGCTTTACATCCGGTGAAGACTCAGGTCATCAGCTCCGGTCTTATTTGGGGTCTCGGTGACGTATCTGCTCAAGCCGTCACTCATTATACTGCAAAGAAACACCATCATCTTCATCCTGTAAGTTTTTGTTTTTTTTTCCCTTTTTTGGTGTATTGGGGTTGTTTTCTTGTCAATTTAGCATTTGGGGTTTTGGAATAAGGGGTAAAGATTGAATTTTTGGAGGAACAAAGCGGCATACGATTCATTGTTTCTGGTGTGTGTATTAGTACATGGATTTTTTTTGTGATCTGGTAGTTAGTTTGGACTCTGTTATGTGGATTTTCTTGGAGTTGTTAGGAAGGAAAGAGTAACAACCTTGTATGTTTGGTGTTTGTATGAGTCCTTGTTTCTATTGTACCTGTAGCTTGGTACCCCTTTAGAAGAGAAATCTAAATAAAGCAAAATTTATATGATTTATAAAACCGACCAGACTAGCTTGAGAGCAAGATATAGTTGTTGTTTTTTAAGTTGAGGGATAAAGAGGTGATGGTTGACTATGTTGGTTGGACTATCAAAAAATGTTGCTGCACTTATGTTGGATTCTCCAAAATGCACTATTTTTGTAGTATCTAACAAGCACCCATTGACGTTTTTGGAGAGTCCGAGCAAACATAGATGGTCAAATCGTAGTGTGAGGAGTTAAGATCTCAATGGTTCCTTACCCTGTTCTCCGGTTTGGACTTATTGTATCCTAAGGACCTAAGAGTAGTTGGACCTACAAAGGACTATTCTTATCATCTAAAGTTATTTAAATAGCATCATCGACCAATGAGTAATGTTAGATTGACATGCTAGCACTTTGTATATTCTGCAGCCTCGTAGCATCTTGCTACAACATTTTTGTTGCTTCTTTTTTTGATTTTGTGGCTGGCTCTCAGGTCTTAACTTTTATCATGTAATAGAGCTAGCATATCTACTTTTGTACTCTTTGCATCTTCTTGATGCTGGTAATGAAACAACTTACTTCATAAAAAAAACATTTTTGTTGCTTCTACCAATGTTTGGTTGAAGGAGGGAGAGGGGAAGGGTAAAGGGACGAGGCTAAATAATTTTACGTCCCTTGTGTTTATCCCACGCTTCAAGGTGTTTGGAAATGTGATTTCTACTTCCTCCATTCGTCCTCTTTCACTTTCTAACAAAACATGCCATTTTTCCTTTACCCTTCCTCTTTTATATTCTGTCCTATTGCTACTCCTCTTTCATCTGAACTTACTAATAATCTTTATAAGTGCTAAACTTTGAGTTTGTTTTGCCCAAGGCATGCTGTTTTCACTTTATTTAATAGTCAGAAAAGCTCTTTCCTTTGACAACCGACGGGTTCACAATCCTTTTCAATTACAAGTTGAGGACACCAATTTCTTTGTATTGACTATTATTTTACTATTTAGTGATTAAGTCAGCCACATCAATATGATAAAATTGGAACGATATAGAGAAGATTAGGATAACCACTTCACAAGTTCTCAGTCCAAATTTTGCTCATAGATACACTTCTCATCAAATAAAAGTTCAAATTGAAATATTGACTAGGTCCTCTTCAGAAAAAATATTGACGAGACAAAATATTAAATTTCTTCTATGTTCCTTCTTTTATTGAATGGAAATGATGTGAATTATAGATAGTAATTTCTGAAGTTTAATTTGTCAAAGGTATTATTCAGGAGAATTTCATTGTTGTTCAACTCGTAAATTTAAAAAGGCTAGTCGTATCCACATTCATTGTTCTTAGCCCTCCCATAAAGAATGTTTAGGAGGGTACTTCTTGATAGTTTGTCAGCTTTACTGAAGAACAATGGATTTGGAAGAATTTACAAAATGTAACTGTAAAACAAACAACATTCAGTGGATTGAAAAACTACAATTAAGTTAAATATATATAAGGTGAAACTGATGTCAACTTAACTTAAATCATTGTAAGTTCGGATTCACATACATGATACAACGATATAATTCTAAGTTTAAATATATATAAGGTGAAACCGATGTCAACTAAACTTAAAACCATTGTAAGTTCGGATTCACATACATGATACAACGATACAATTCTAATTTTAAATATATATAAGGTGAAACCGATGTCAACTAAACATAAAACCATTGTAAGTTCGGATTCACATACATGGTACAATTTTACAATTCTAAGTTTAAATATAAATAAGGTGAACCCATGTCAACTAAACTTAAAACCATTGTAAATTTGGATTCACATACAACGATACAATTTTAAGTTTCTTATTAGAGTTTACGACCTGTTTTGTTGTCCCTTCTGGAGATATCCAACTTAATTACTAGTTTTCCTTTACATTCTAATTTCCTAATTTTCTTTTGTAAAAAAGCAATAATGGGCTGATTTTTATTGCAACACACACCTTATCTTTTGGTGAGTGCACTGGAGCTCTGCCTTAGCAAGATGAAGCAGCTAGTATAAAGAACACCTAGCTTCAAGGGTCAATCCCACTTTTAACAACTTTTGAGTTTTGCTGAGGACTGCAATGCTGATTCAGAATTTGCTTATTATGCATGTTAGATAAGTGGTTGAGTGTTTCTGATTCCATTAACAGAAAAGAAACAAAATGAAGGACTAAGTGTTTTTTCTTGTGTTACTGATACACAACTACTCCCTCTGTTTCAATTTGTTTGGCTTGATTCGGAGTATGAGCGTCAAATTAACTCATGTTCAGTGAGAATCCGGACATAGAATCTTCAACTTTTTTGAATAGAACTTACATATTTAGAAATTTCATAAAAAGTTCTATAATTCTTTCTCCCCCCTCCCCCTCCCCCTCCACCCCCCCCCCCTTCTTTTTGTCCTTTGCTACAATCTTTGTTAGTTCTTGTGATTGCTGAAATCTGGACAGATCTGATTCCTTTCTATTTTAGTTGTACTGAAGTTGTTTGCATGAATCTCCTCTTTAAAAATTTAGGCAGTCTGATTTTCTTGAAATAGCTGTGTTAGCCCTTTTGGACTGCCTCTGATATTATTTATTGGGAAATGTTATTCTTGTTAACTGCAGAATGAAGATAAAGAATTTGCAATCAACTGGAGACGAGTTGCCACAACGAGCTTGTTTGGCTTTGCATTTGTTGGACCCGTTGGCCACTTCTGGTAGACCTTTCTTTATTCATTTGCTTCTATGTAGGTCACTGGTTTGCCACCCTTCACGAAATGACCTTGTTTTTGTCTTTGATGTGCAGTATTCTGTGATTAGTATTTCTTCATGGGGTGCATTTCTTTTCAAGGGGTTGTCTCATGTCTGGCATACTGGCATTGTTGTGTCACAGTTATCAAATGTTCTCTGTAACATGAATATACTTGTTTCCTATATCAAATAAGTAAAAAATGTAGTCTCAAATTTACTGGACCTTCTGCCTTCACAACTATCCTCTTGAGGTTTCTCGAAATGGGGCGTTGATGTGAATCAATTTTAATCTAGAATCTTTATATATTAGAAAACCTCAGTAACTAACTAGTAATTGTGAGGTCAATTTCATACTTGCTGCTATACTTTGTTCAACAATTTGTTACTGCATAACCTTTCATATGTAGTTAGTAATGCCACAGAGGGATGTACTCTTATTTTGGCTCTTATATGTGTTGCTATGATTGAACCTTATTTTAAATAAGAATGTTGGATAGATTTCTTATCTTGGCTTCTGATAAAATGAGCTTCCTGCAACTTTACGTAGGTTAGCAGTTAGATTTTTTTTTTTTAGCAGTAATTGCATAGTGGAATTATGTCTTCCTTCACATCTATCTCTGTAAAGCTTTGGTCAAAGAAGCATTAGAACGTTATTGTGGCATGTTGGATATATCTTCATTTCCTCTCTTTAAGGACCACAATCAAAATGTGTAATCTATTGATTTATGTCACTTCATTGAAGTAGAATGTAGTAGATTTTGGATCCAGTTTGAACATTTAATAGATAAATACCGGAGTTTTAGTTTTAGAACTAATGCCTTATGGTATTTTGCTCTCAATTATGCAGTTTTTCAAGGTTTAAATTCTATCTTAATCTCTGGATGCTTATAGATTTAACGAGTACTCAGACTAGTGCCCTCTTCCTCCCTTTATTAAGTGAGGCCTTTAGTCTGTTTGACTAAATGTATTTGAAGACTTGGCATAACATAATTCAAATCAGAGTCAGACTGAGACTAAATATTTTCCTGATATCGGATTCTCCTGCCAAATAAACTGTCATTTAGTTTGTTAAATCAGGGTCAGACTGAGACGAATTCTTTTCCTGATATTGGATTTCCTGCCAAATAAAATTTCACTAGTTTATTTAGTAGTAGAACCGACAGGCGTAAGTACTTGAACTTGTGGTGACAAAAGATTTACTGACAATACGCAAACCAAATAAAAAGGATTTATTGGAATTATGTCTCTGTAGAGTGATGTTATGTTTTGTTATGATGTGCACTAGGAACTAATTTTTTGATGTGCTAGAGCATTTTTTGTTTTCAATAAATTACTGTTATGTTGTGACAACTGAAAGTAATATTCTTGAGTTATCATTGAAAAGACTGCAGATAATTTTTACTTCTGTAATGTTTGGGGTGAATGGATCTCACTGTATTATCTGTTTAGGTATGAAGGGTTGGATCGCGTCATAAGACTGAGATTTCAAATGCAACCTAAATCCCTGCGGTTTGTTGCTACAAAAGTAGCACTTGATGGTATAATCTTTGGGCCCCTGGATTTACTTGTCTTTTTCACATATATGGGTTACTCCACTGGCAAAAATACTGCTCAAGTTGTTGAAGGTGTGAAGAGAGACTTTCTTCCGGCTTTAATACTAGAGGGCGGTATATGGCCTATTGTCCAGGTGGCCAACTTCCGCTATATACCAGTTAGATATCAGCTCCTTTATGTCAATTTCTTCTGCTTGCTTGATAGCTCCTTCCTTTCATGGATTGAGCAGCAAGAAGATGCTGCATGGAAGCAATGGTTGAAAAACATTGTGCGCTTAAAAGAACAGAAGGAGGAAGGTAGATGATTCCTTATTTCACTAGGGATACGCGTTGGCTTTGTTAATCGGGAATAGTGATATTAGTTATAGAGACATGTGAAGTATTTACAGGAATCTTGGAGAGTGTCGATTTGGAAATTGGTAGTTCGATTCAGTAAAAGTGATAGCACTTTGTCAAGCTACACTATTATCGATTGAAGCTTAACATAGCTATTATGGTCTTATCTGTATCCACTATACATTTTGATTGCTCCTGCCTCATATTTTGTCATTTGGGGTTAATTTTGAGAAAGACAATTGAACTGTGATGACAAATTTCCTTTTTATTGAGAAATTGAATTCAATCGCTATCAAGCACTGAAATCTGTTGTCTTTTGTCTTTGTTAATGTTATATTTTGTTCTTCAAGGAACTGATGGCCATGGCTGAATACAGACCATGGTTGAGCAGCGATAGTTTCAATAATTACATATGTTGTCCGAGTTTCGGTCTTATGGGCCATGGGACTGTATCTAGTAATCTTGGCCATGATTATGGAAATGTAGCCAAAATGTAAGATGATACCATGATGTTACAGCAAATTGAACTGTTTAATTTGTGAATCCTCTGTGATGGCATATTCCATGCTACAAAGAAATAATTGAACTTAAAAATTATTAAGCTTTATAAATTGTACTACTACTACAACAACTTCACAATTGATCATAGACAAAATAATTTGAACATTCAACACTCAAATCTTTATAAAACCACTTGTAAATTATATTTGAGACATTGCAAACTGAAAAGTTTCATTTTCTTCACAATGTGGAATAACAAAGATGGTTTTACAGACTTTTAAGTTAAAATGAACCACTACATTCCTCAATAAACTATACATAGTTTTAGCATTAAAGGTACACCTTAAAACATGCTACAGAAGAGGTGAATCAATATCCATCTATAACACTTCCTTCTGCACCGCAAAACTTTCAGAACTTGCATCTGCAGGGACAATTTACTTCATAAAGAATTGCAGACAAACTATATACAGGAAAGAAAATTATAACATGTAGACGCTCCAAAGTTCTCGCGCTCACTCTTGCTTCAACGGGATGAGTCAGTCAAAAATAAATGAATTTTACCAACCAGATAGTGAAGCATCAAAATCTAACACACAAAACAAATAAAGAAAAGTGATTATAACTACATAGTACTGAGCCAAAAGAGAGACCATCAGTTTGACACTTGCTTTAAAACACATTTGGTAGTAAATATCATTTTTGTTGCATTACACTATTGTTTAATTTACTCGTTTATAAAGCCGATGTCTTTTTGCTCATGACACCAGAGAGGTAAACTGAGTACAAAAATCTGCTCATTAACACCTACTTACAAATGATCAAGGAACCTGACATAAACCTACTTCGGCAGAATGAAGTTAATAATGTAGTTCTCCAACGTCCAAATACACCACAAAAGGAGCAATGGATAGCAAGAGGAACAATCTTTATAGCTTTACTAGTAAAGATGCAGAACAAAAAGTGTGATGCAAAAGATAATTAAGCAAAGCATAGCCTTAAGAAAGTCAAAAACTGTGGACGCACATGTTAAAATTATACCTTCTATGTATAAAACAGAAGGTGCAGCTACAAATGTCATCTGGATTCTTTTTGAGTAGTTGGTACTACTGTGGGGGGTATGAAGGTGGGTATGCAGGCGCCGCAGGAGTGAGAGCATAATCATATGCACTATAACCAGCCTCCCCTCCATATGATCCATGATAACTCCGCACTCCACTAACTCCAGCTTCTTGAAGTGCATATCCATATTGTGGAGCAAGTATAGCTGGACTTTGAGTGTGAGTACCGCTATAAGCTGGAGCATATGAGACCGCGCTAGGTGCCTCATATACACTCTGGCTGGTGTAGCTATGTGCCCCTGTATACCTAATTGGTGGAGCCTGATGTGATTGAGGAGGATTCCTGGAGCGGAAAGCTGTGGCATTTGATGATCTTCCAGATTTAACAGGCCGAGAGGTGGACGGACCACTGGACCTGCCAGTGCCACCTCCACGACCCCGCTTTTTTGAAGGTTTGTTCTCAGGAGTTGTGCCCATTTTCTTTTTTGCTTTGGCCTGCTCCAACTCAGTTACCCGTTGTTTAAGTCCTTCTAAAGTAAATTCTTGTTCAAGCTTGTGATCTTCCACACATTTTATTAAAGCCTTAGTAGCTTCCAACTCTATGCTGTTAGCTTTGTCCTGAGATATAAGTCACTCTTATCGAATACTGACAAACAAATATATAAAAAACGAGGGAAGACATAAAGAACAATAGAACAGATTCATAAAGTAGACACAGGAATAACTGAGTATCTCACAAAGGATTTACAGCAGAAGGTGCTTGGACAATTTTGAGGTGGTACTTAAAGTCTTATGGAGCGTACCCTCCTCCTTTTACAATTTACCGACAAAATATACTTTTTTTATGGAAATGATAGTCTGTCATCGATGACTGTCTTTCCCCAAACTTCGCTTTAAAATAACATAGGCAGGTTTCGCTGTTAAAAAATATTTATGCGACATCTACACTAAGGGTGTCCACTGCGCCGAGATGTACCAGACTGGCCCAGTACCAGTTTGATAGGGTTTGACGGGTTTAGGGGATGGAACAGGTCATCATTTGGGCCATGTATCCTGGACCAGTCCAATCACAGTACCAGCCCAGTCCCCGAATTTAGAAAAAGAAGAAGAAAAAAAGTAGGCGTTGCCAATGAATGTTTTTGTCTCCCCTAGTGTTTCGTCCCCTCCCCTCCCCTCCCCGGCATTCTATAAGTCATCAAATTAATCTGCAATCTTCCAGCAACTGACTTCGCTTAAAACTGAGAAGGAATAAAAGATACAGAGAAAGGAAATGAACAGAGAATTCTTTCTCCATTCCTTGGATCCAGGGGATTCACTCCTCTGTGATCTACGAAACATAATAATATACTTGAATATCACTTTGTCATCTGGGCAAAAATTGAAATTAAAAAGAAGGAAAACAGACAGGCAACCACAGTGAAGGAGAAAGGAGGGGCTGGATAGAGAAATATACGCACCACTGCAGCTGAACTAAATTTTCCCTTCTTTGATATGTTATTAGCATTTCTTCGGCAGTTCCTGAGAGATAACTTAAGAAGTGAGAGTGGAGGGTATCTCTCTGATAATCCAGACTCTGTAGCAAAATAAACTGCTTCAACCTCTTTGCCGCTCTTCAACAGCTCTTCAATAATATCTGATCAAAGAGAAGGAAACTCCAAGTGTCAGGCTGTTCATATATATTTTTTTATAAAATAGTAATTTGATTTATATTTGGACACAAAAAAACCCAAATACAAGAACTACACCAAAAAGTAAAAAACCTAAAAAAATATAGGGTAAAAATTCTGCATTATATATTCCAGTTGCTAGCAAAACACTAAACAGGTCCTTTCCCAATTTGAATATTTTCCAGAGCAAAGTAAGAGAAGTATCTTAAACCAAATACTATATCTTACCGCATCAATCCAGTTTAAGTTTCTCTAGCCAACTATATTCAAATTTTGTAATGCCTATATGGAGGATATTGGAAATCAAAGTTTTCTATGACATTAATTCCACAGATAATAGCAACTTAAGTAGTTCATTAAAGAACCTACCTCCTATTTTGTTACCAAATCCAAAGGCAACGGCAAGCTTTGGCATATCTTTCCTGTTAGCAAATTCCAGCACCAGCTTCCTAAGGAACTCCTCCTCAAACCTCTCTTTTAGCGCAAATGCGATAACCAACTGCAAAAACATTGTTGCTTCAGCAGCGCAAACTCCACTGCTTCTGTCCCCACCGCCCAAAACTCCCTTCCATTTCTCCAACACCCTTGCTGCCCTCTCCTTCAAACTCCTCCCTGCACCATAACCCCCTTCCGCAGCTGGCACAACTGACTGAATTAACATATCACAAGCCCACCTCCTATCTGCCAGTATCGCCTTCTTCTCTACCTTCCTCCCCACAAACTCCTCTGCTGCATCCAAGATCAACCTGAAGGACCCAGCAAAAAGAATGATAATAATAAGATGACCAAAAACACCTAACATACAATATGAGCTTCGAAGTCTCTACTTTGCTTTGACATATGCAGTGATAACTCTGATTCTGACCAAACCTGTCTCCTTCCCCGTCATCCAAACCCCAAAAAAAGAACAAAAAACAAACATAGAAACCCTATAAAGATGCATAACTGTGAAAGCCAAGGAAGTGTTACAGTAGGGAGAAAATCTTCTAACTGTTTGGTTTTAATTACTTCTCCAAGAAAATAAATATTTGAAGTCAAAGGATAAAGAGAAAGTTCCTAAAGACTTCTATAAGACAAAAAGACAAATGGATAACTTCCATAGACTATTCCAACAACTGAGAGTTGAGCAACCAAAAGCTATTAATCCAGATCACTGTTGTTTAGCTCATCCTTTTATGTTCAACACATTCATTGGCTCATTAGGAAATATTGTGTTGCCTTGCATGTTTGTGTTGAAGATGCAACATAATTTTAGAACTGTGAATTGGAATATTTCCATCTTTTAGTGTCTGGAGCTCCTTCTTGAGGCACACCCATATCTACAGAGACTACAACAAACTTTTTTTTTTAACAATGGAGTGTACGACAAACTATTACTCTTTATTTCATAGAACTCCTTTCACAGTCTATTGATTTTTATTCACAGCCATAATTCATTTCTTGATATTTAATTGAATTGCTATTAACTATTGCCTTTGTCCTAGAGCCACTTTTTTTACCATATCACAAAAAGGTAACTACTAGTAACAAAAATAAGTGTGTGAACACAGATGCTAATTCATCATATAAGTAGTCGGTGCAATCTTTCAGCATAGTCCATATGTATGTGGGTGCAAAAATTTAAAGACAAGCCAACCCTGATTATAGGGTCAATTAAGTCCCTAGGATTAATGTCGAAACAATAGGGAATAACCTTAAAGTGATCATTTGACAATTCTATTTGGTACATATGCATCAGTTTTTCCCTGATACCTTAGATGGAGTGGAGAAGCTTATGTAAATGTGCTGACATGAAGATAAGCTTCTGCTTTATGTCTTGGAATACGGTAGGATGGACTTAAAATTTATGTCAAGCACCTTGGAAGTTATAAGTTACAATCTTTTTGGTTCATGATTTATGAGACATGTTACCATTATGTAATGAAGTGAGTGATCCCTTTAGTTCTTTAAATGCCATTTCAGTGCCTAGCTTATTTGAAGCAAGAGTCACTGTTAGATTCTAGAATGAAATGGTTTCACTCTAAAAAAACAACTTGGGCATTATAGAGTGCTGAAAATATCTCCTATTACTTACCAACTGTTTATTGATCTCTGATTTAAAGAATATTAGTCTGAATGCATCTTATAGGTTGATTGTTCAAATAGTTGCAGTGCACATTATGTAACAATACAATCTATCTAAACTTTGTATTCATTGAAACAATACAATACATTATGAAACGATACATAACAACCATCCAAATAGAGTGTTAAGCAAAATGCATCATAGAGTAATCTAAAAGAATCAAACCTCATTGGATCCACAGAACTTTCAAGTGCAGCAGCAATCTCCATCCTCAAACCCGTAGGCTCCTTCCTCTTAGTCTGAATAAATCCAACAAGGCCGCTAGCATCCATTCTCTTACAGTAACTCCTCAACACTTCAGCCAAGCTTTTCTCGCTTAAATCCCCCAAACTCTCAATCTCAGAGATAGCAGCATCCTTCATCTCCACAATTCGAGCACCCATGCTCGATTCCCGATCGGGTAAGGCATTCTCTCGATTCTGGATCTTCAGTAATGCATCTTCCGTCTTATCCTTGAAAATTTTGACATGAGTATCGAGGGTTTCCGATTTTTGACAGAGAGTATTGTTTATGTTGGTGAAATGGGTGGTTAGGGCTTTGTTGAGGTCAGTTATGGTGGTGAGTAAGGTCTGTCGAGCTTCGAGGTTCTTGAAGAAGGTATGAATCGGTTCAAGGTTCGTTACAGTATCTGCCGCCATGGAAATGGAGCTTTTTTACACTGCAAATTTGTGGAAGAAAGAAGATATACAAACAATAAGCTTTTGAGCCCATGTTGATGTTATTGGACTTCCAATTACTCAACAAGGCCCATAGTCATTTATCAAAAAAAGTCGAGATAATCTTGAATTTCTATTTTGTGATTTATTATTTCAAAAATAGCGATATTCGACCCTCAAAAATAGTGTACAACTTAAAATTTTCATTTTTAAACACGCACAATTTCAAAACATATGATTGGGATTTCTAACACATTGTTTGGATGGTTGTTACGTATTGTTTCATAATGTATCATATTGTGTTCTATTGTATCGTACTGTATTGTTTTAATGAATGCAATACTTGGATAGATTATATTATTCTCAGCTGTTAAATAATATCACATAAACTGTTAAATAATATCACATATCCATAATTTGAATGATAAACCTACAAGAAAAGTAGGTATGAACTAGAGTTACTATGAAAATGTAGGATAATAGATGACATATGATTTTATTAAATAATAAATAAAGACAAAATGAGAAGAAAATATTAAGGTAACGATGCGATCACACCAAATCAATCGTTATATAAAATGGGTCTTTTCACCATTATCTAACGATGAATTTAAATAAATACGATACGATAAAATTTAAGTAACAATCAAATCAAATATTATATTTAAACTAATAATATAACGGGTAACAACCATCCAAACAAGGTGAGTCCTCACTGTTATTGCATTAGGCACACATTATGTCGAATCATTATTTTATAAAGTTATTATAAATAAAGAAGAGCAAAAAATACATTTAAGAACGGTGAAATGCAAGTGACACAATAATTTTTTTTTAATTTCTCATTCAATGTTCATTTATTGTGATTAAGTTCAATTAATCGGAATTTATATTAAGAAAAACCTATTTAAAGTGAAAACGCTTTTTAATAATGTTATTTTTTATATTTAAAAAGTCAAATCTCTACCACAACTTTTATCAGTGAAACGATACATAATCAAAATTGTTCAACAACAGAAATGAAAAGAAGTATTACTAAAATTGTTTAAAAGAACAAGACAAATATAGTTAGTCGATATAAAGAGTCCAATTACTTTTGAAGACTACCAAAAATCTAATATATAACAATAATAAGACAAAGGTGTCAACTATATTGTCATCAACTTTGAGTTTCCCAACTTTTTTAATCAATATTCATAATTTATTATTACGATTAATTCAGATTCATATTATAAAAAAGTTACAATTAAAATTTTGGGTTTTAATTGCCAATGGTTATAACAAATTTAATTGATTCTTATTACTATTTATTCTCTTATACCTTCTATTGAAATTTTTTACGTTCTTTACCTGAAAAAAATTAATTTCATAACTCGAACTCGAAATAAAGGTGGAGAATTATTTGTCTAAGTTGTCTAACTCACATTATCACTTTCAACTTGCAACAATTGCTATGAAGTGACCTCACTTTAGATAAGCTATCTTTAATTTATAATTAATTCTCCTTATCATATTTTACTTATTAATATGTCATTAACTAATCAATCAATCAATTTATTTGATGATGAGTTTTGTAGTTGTACATAATCATCAATATTTTATAATAATAACAATAATATAATACTAATAAATCTTATATTTATTTCCCATGGAGAAGGAGAGAACAATTTGTTCTTTATTACGTAGAACAAGATGTATATTAACAAAAACATTTAATTTTTATGTTTTTTTTTGTTGTTGAAAGAGAAATTAACGTCTCGTTTCAGTATAACAATTCATAAACTACACGAGGTAAATTTTGTGTGACGAGCTTCAGAATACGTAGGAATGAAGAGAGTATGTAGTATACTTTGTTCACCGAGGCATAATTAAGTACATTAAACCATTTTATAAAGAAAAAATAATTTAAATAGTTATCAACTTAAACTAAAAATAGCTAGTGACGGTATAATATACGTATGTAACACATATAATTGTATATCATCAATGTATAATTTATGTATATTGAGTTATGAGTTGTAGACACCAAACCCAAATGTGTACAATTTGTGAATAATCTATATGTATCGGGATAAGAAAAAAGGTAGTAGTAGTAAATAATAAATCCAAGTGTCTGTTTGTGTAAAGATTCATTAAAATACCTCAACCAAATATACATTATACAAATATTGAATTCTTTTTGGGTTTTTTTTGTACTATTTTATATTTTTAATCTCTTACTGAAAATCTTGACTTTGTCACAGGCTAAGTCATCATGAACTTGAACCAGAGATCTTGGTCGTGAAAAAATTTATTTCATTTACTAATTAAAATTCAATAATTCCTTTTCAACAACAATTCATCCATTCCGGAATGTAATATACAATTCCCTTCTTCCTTATGCTAGCAATTTTATTTTTTTTGTGAAATAACTTCGATAAGAAGAAAAATAAAGTGTTCCAAGACCCTCTTGGCCTAGTCCTAAACATTTTGACAACTTCTTTTTTCGAATTGTGTTATTCTTCTATTCAAATTGTAAACAAGATTTTCTTTTTTCAAAATTCTATTAATTCTAGTGATATACCCTTAGATTCTCAAATCCATGTAAATGGATAGGTGAGATGACCTTTTTGACAACAAGGGTGCCTAAAAAGTACCTAAAACTTTGTATTATTATGAATATAATATAATTATTCCCCACTTGCAGCCACTAAATATAAAAAAGAAAAAAAAATTCCCATCAAACATACACCATTATTGAGTAGTTAAAAAACAATGAAAAAGAGACACTTTATTAATGGGTTGTGATGCAGTGATGAGACTATTTCATCCTTAATCAGTAGTCTCGGGTTGGAGAAAATTTTGTTGGGAGTATCACCCCTGAATTAGCCCTGCGATATGAAATTCAAATTTAATCGGGACTCCAATGCAGGCTTCGAACGATGGGAAATAAAAAGAAAAAAAAAAGACTTTGCTATTGGAATCTTCTTTTGATTCTTAATTATTAATATATATATTTAAAAAAAAAAAAAAGAATCGTGTAACAACAAGCAACTTCCTAGTCAAATAACCTAGACACAGTTGTAAACAGTTCAAAGAATCCAAGTACACTACAACTTAATTTTTTTGACTTAATTGCAACTCACCAACAAACAAATAATAATAATAATAATAATAATAATAATAATAATAATAATACGATAAATGAATGTGTTAGAATGAATATGATTCTTTTTATTATTAATTAGATATTTCGAATTTGACTAGTTAAAATGAAAGGAAAAAAACTCATGTAACAAATGGTTAATTTATGCAAATGACCCCTTTTAGGCAATCCGTTATCAATTATCATACAGATTTTGTCACTAATTTTAGAAGTATAAATACAATTCTTGTGAAATTACATCATGATAACGTTAGTTGTCAGATACAAATCTAATTAATTATATTTATTTATATATTTCTCAATTTTATAGATAAAATATCAGACAAATAATATCATCTAATATTTACAATAACTTATTAGCTTTAGAGTTTAGAACATAATCGGAACATTTTCTCATAAAACTTCTAGTTTACTCAAAAGAATATTTAGTTCATGTTCATGAGATTCAGAAGAAACAAATAAAAAGGGTCATGTACTAAACAACTATCCTAAAAAGAAATAACATGTGAAAAATTTCTAGTAGACAGCGAACACAATATATATATATATATATATATATATATATATATATAGGCAGAATGGTCTGGTGGACCCTTGTACTTGTATCTATTTGTATTGTGAACCCTTATACTTATCCTTTTGTCATCTGGACCCCTGAACCCATCCAAACTCAACATTTTAAACACTTTTTTTGATGTGGTATGGAGCGTGTTGCACAAACACGTACACGTTGGCCAAAAAGAAAAAAAAATAATCCACGTATGATATTATATTCCACGTGGCAAATGACTCACCTTAAACTAAGAATAGTCCTAACTCCGGCGAAATTTTTCAAACCTTCGCGACTTTTACACTTCTCCTCTTCTCCTCTTCTCTTCTCCTCTCCGCGACGTTCATCTGTGATTTTCCTCCAAACCTTCGCTCAGTTGAAGCTCAGTTCCACTCCGATTTTCGTTGTAAGTTCTTGCCTTTTGCGTTAGTTCTGATCTTTTTCATTTTCTCGCGCGTATCTGTTTGATTTTAGGGTCGATTGTCATTCGATTTTCTGAAATTTTTTGGGGATTTTACTTTGGTTTAGATGTAATATTAGTGTAATATGCTTTCTTAGTTGATGTATGACTTTGAGTGACTTCAATGGCATATTTCGTGAATTCGAGTAGATTCTAGGGTTTATTCGTAAAATCCCAATTTCAACTAAAATTAATATTTTATTTCTGGTCAATTGTCTTGGGTATTGATAGTGTTAGTTGAGCATTATTACATCAATTACAGTCATGGTAAGTTAATGGCTTTAACTGTTACAACAATTCATTATTTCCTTAAAAAAATTAGGAATTTTTGTGTTACAGTCATGGTAAGTTTATGGTTTAACTGTAGTTATTATTTTTGACTTTACAGGCATCGTAAGGTCATGGCTTTAACTATAGTGACACTTCAATTTCACTATGGGGGCTGTTTTGTATCTAATCCTACTTTAAGGTATGTCAATGGAATCAGTAGTGTTGAAAAGATTAATATAGATGTAGATGAGTTGCATATTATGTTATTTCATAAAATAGCAATGGAATTAGGTGTTGAAAATGTTGAGACATTTGGATGTAGAGTCAACAAGAAGGGTGTTTTTTACAGGTTAAATACTGATTCTGATGTTTTAAACTTTCTGAATGGTTTGAAGGGTGCTGATTTTGTTGATGTATATGTTGTACATCCCATTAGTATACCTTTAGTTGTAGAGGAGATACTTGTATTGCCTAGCACTAATGCTGATGTGTCCTCATCTCCACAACAAGATAATGCTGATGTGTCCTCCTCCCCACACAAAAATAGGGCTGATCTGTCATCCTCCCCACAAATAGATAGGGCTGATGTGTCTTCATCTCAACCATTTGATGAAAATGAAAATAGGGATTTAAACCAAAATCAGCCCCTTTTAGTTGAAGAGCAGTCCCCTTTAGTTGAAGAACAAGCCCCTGCCCCTAGAGTTGAAGAACATTCTGAATCTGATTCACTCTATGATATTGATGAAAATATTGATGATTTGAGTGATTTGGATGAGGAGTTGCTTCAAGCTAGGCAGTCTAATATTCAAGAACAAGTTAAAGAAAAGACTGCTAGAGTAAATCTAGATGAGATACCATCTGGTCCTGTAGGTATAGATGCTGGTTTTGAAGACATTTATAAGGAGAAGAGGAGGAGATTTGAAGGCAATTTGGGTGGTGATGACCCTTATTTTGATAGCTCAGATCCTGGTAGTGACATTAGTGAAGATGAAGGGGATCCTGTTGAGAATGATGAAGTGGTAGATCTAGCACCTAGGAAGGAAAGTACAAAGATCTACTTTGATCCAACTGCTAAAAAGGTTTTATTTCAACTGTATATGGTATTTTTGAATCACATAGAGTTCAGGGAGGCACTGCAAACTTACTCTATTCAGAAGGGTGTTAATATTAAGTTGAAACCTAATGAGAAGGAAAGGATAAGGGCAAAGTGTAATAAAAAAGGTTGTCCTTGGCATATTCTTGGAAGTATTGATGGTAACACTGGAAATTTCAGTGTTAAAACATATTTTCCTGTCCATAAGTGTTTTAAAAGAACAAGAAACAAACTGTGTACCCCCATTTGGATTAGTAAACATTACAAGGAGAGGATTATGAGTGAGTCTACCATCAAACTACATCAGATTCAGTTTTTGATACAAAAGCAATATGGTTTGTATGTTAGTAAGACAAGTTGTAGAAAGGCAAAACTGAGAGTTATGAATGAACATATGGGAGATTTCAGAGAGGAGTTTGCTAGGTTGTATGATTATGCTGAGCAATTAAAGACCACAAATCCTGGAACTACTGTATCTATTAGGACATCCAAGAACACAATTCCAGGAAAAGAGGTGTTTATGAGCATCTATATTTGTCTTGGTTCCTTAAAAATTGGATGGAAAGAAGGGTGTAGAAGGATTATTGGTTTAGATGGTGCATTTCTTAAAAGTGTATGTAAAGGTGAATTGTTATCTTGCATTTCCAAAGATGGAAATAATCAGATGTACCCTATAGCATGGGCAGTAGTTGATAAAGAAACCAAGGACACATGGTCTTGGTTTCTCAAGTGCATCAAACATGATTTGGAGCTTACAGAAGGTGAAGGACTAACAGTGATGTCTGATATGCAAAAGGTATTACTATATTATTTGTTAAATTTATTTCTTCATTTTTGGAGTAATTAATATTTAACATTGTTGTATGTCAAATGTTCTTTATTTGACAGGGTCTTCATCTTGCACTTATTGATGTATTGCCAAATGCTGAAATTAGATGGTGTGCTAGGCATATATGGGCAAACTGGAAGAAAGACTGGAGGGGTGAAGAAAGGAGAAGAAAATTCTGGCAGGTTGCCAGGGCATCATTTGAGGTACTTTTACAGTCCAAACTTGATGACTTGAGTGAGTTAGGAGTAGGCATTGTAGAAGCTTTGTTAAAGTATAACAAAGAAGCATAGTGTAGGGCATATTTTAAAGAACATAGCAAGTGTGATGTGGTTGAGAACAACATGTGTGAGACTTTCAATAGTTGGATTTTAGGTGCTAGGTTCAAATCAATAATCACTATGCTAGAGGAAATAAGAGTCAAAGTTATGGAAAGAATGAATCACATGAGAGAATTTTCAGAAAAATGGATTACTGATGTAGCACCAATGGCTATGGATATTCTTAGAAAAAATGCTGAAATTGCAGATAATTGTGAGGTAAAGTTTAATGGTGATCTTGGCTTTGAGATTCATGATCCACCATATAAACATGTTGTTGACCTAAGAAAGAAGGTGTGTAGTTGTAGGTCATGGCAATTAAAGGGAATTCCTTGTGGTCATGCACTTACAGCAATTCATTATAAGGATTGGGTTGTTGATACATTTGTTGATCACTGGTATAAGAAGGAAACATACTTGAAAGCATATAATAGGTTTATTCAACCTATGACAAACATGAAGATGTGGCCAAAAAGTGATAGACCAGCCATTGAACCACCTGAAATTACAGCTATGCCAGGAAGACCAGGAAAAAATAGAAGAAAAGATAGTGATGAGCCAGTTAAGAAGAAGTTTGGAAAGGCTACAAGGAAGGGAAGAAAAATGAAATGTTCTGTGTGTAAGACTTTTGGACATAACAAGAAAGGATGTCCAACTCTGGTAAGTTGTGCTTTAATGTCTCTTTGTTACTGAATTTTACTCTTGTTATACTTTTGACTTTAAAATATGTTTGTAGAAAAATGTTGCTGCTGGAACAGGTGCTACAATTTCAAATGTTGCTGCTGGAACAAGTGTTGCAAGTGTTGCAAGTGCTGCAACTGCTGGAAGCCAGTCAAGTGTAAATGCAGGTCCAAGTGCAGGTTGCACTCCAAGTGCAGGTCCAAGTGCATGTCCAAGTGCAGGTTGCACTCCAAGTGCAGGTCTAATTAGTGGTCAACAATCAACTTCTAGTGCAGGTGGCCAAAAAAGAAAGACTAGCACAGCTTTGAGAGGTGGTGCAACTCTTGCATATAAGAAACCAAGACCAAAAAAAGCAAAGACAACTGGTTATGGTCTCTTATTTGGATCAGGTGGCAGTGTAACTGCGAGGGTATGTATTTTATCATTTAAACACATTAAATTGCTTTAATTGATATTAGCTCATCTTTAAGTTAAGATTTTTGTTGTTCTCTCAGTCTGGAAATACTGATAGGGTATTACATAGTGCTACATTGTCAAGTTCAACTCCTACCAATATTGATCTTGGTTACAAACCCAATGGACTAAGGTGGAAGGGAAGAGCTGCAATTACTCAAAGGCAGCTACGGGAGGAGAGTTACAGAAGCACTCAAGGCACACATTAGATTTCACTTGGTTTAGCTTAATGACTTGATCCCAACTAACTTTATTTTGATTAATGACTTGATCCCAATTGTTTTGGTTATGCTATTAGGAAGACTTTGTTTTTGTATATGAATGGCGCCTACATGAATTTGTGTTATGTTGCTATTAGGAAGACTTTGTTTTTCTGTATGAATTTGTGTTTGAATGAAGTTGCTATTTAGATTTCTAAAGCAAATGCAGTCCATTTCATTATCAAATAACACCTAGTACAAATTAATATATCTTAAAAATAACGGCTACAAACCAAATAACAACAATCACAATAACAGTGATATCAATACTAGTGTTTGATCCTTGTCTTCCTTGCCTTCCTTGTCTTCTATGTCTTCCTTGTCTTCCTTGCCCTGAACTCGTTGATGGATTCTTAGTGTTGTATTGTTCTTGGCATGTTGAATCATTTGCATCAGCCCATCGGAAGAATCCACACCCATTACCGGATGAATATTTTTGGCAACCCCAAAACATTCTTCCAGGATTAGTTGGTGTTCTTGATGTCTTTAGTTCAGCATATATTCCACAGTAGCAACATCGAACCGTCATTGTGAAGACCAACAAAATCAAACCAACAAAAATACAATAGAACCACACAAAAAAAAAAGATGAAACAAAAATACAATAGAATCACACACAAAAAAAAGATGAGTAGATCGAAGGAAAAAATAAAGGCACCAAAAATAAAAGAGAAAAAAATTTGAAAAGACAAAATCGAGAAAAAGAGGAGAAAAAAGCTCAAATTTGTCCAACAATGGTGTTTGAGTGAAAATAAAGAAGAAAGATGGCCTTTAAAGGTCAAAATCTGACCGTTACTTTATTTTTAAGGCATCTCACGCTCTTACCTTGTGTGTATCACACGCTCCATGTGGAGTCTTTCCACATAGGATGCCACATCAAAAAAAGTGTTTAAAATGTTGAGTTTGGATGGGTTCAGGGGTCCAGATGACAAAAGGATAAGTATAAGGGTTCACAATACAATTAGATACAAGTACAAGGGTCCACCAGACCATTCTGCCTATATATATATATATATATATATAACACAAATCTAAATTAATCGAACAAGAGATTCAACATTATGCTTCAAGAAAGATCCAACAAAATTTTATATAGATTAGTCACAATAATTAGTCATAACAATAATGGTTTTAATAAATACAAAATTACAAAGTTGTCACCATTAAGTTGGCCTCATGTGAAAACGTGTCAATCTATTTACAGGTATCTTTTTGTTGTACACATTAATAAATAGCTTGATTGATAGTGATAGAAATTAAAAATTAATTTCCAATTTTGTCCTCCTTAATTTTCCTCTATATATATCAAAAATAAAATCAACTTCACTATAGAAGAGCAAAAACAAAACAATTTTTTTTTAGGGAATTTCAAGAAATGGCAATGAAAAATCAAGAAAATATTGGGATTTTAAAGAAATTTCCAGAAGCTTCTAATAAAATGTGTTCATTTGGGAGTAATGTGAAGAAAATAGCTAAAGAAGATCCAAGAAAATTAGTTCATTCAATAAAAGTTGGATTAGCAATTGCATTGGTTTCATTGTTTTACTACTTTGAACCATTGTTTGATTATGAAGGATTTGGTGTTTCTTCAATGTGGGCTGTTTTAACTGTTGTTGTCGTCTTCGAGTTTTCTGTTGGTAAGTTTTTATTATTCGAATCGTAAAGGTTAATTAATTTCACGTATGATCATCAAATATTTTGTAATATATAATAAATGAAAGATGATTTGAAGGGTTGTAGTGTTCCTTCATGTTAATAGGTTATACAAAATTAAAAAAAATTAAAATTAGATACAAACTTCGTCGTTAATTCTCGCTATATTGCTTATATAGTTAAACATAACTTTTTTCCATCTCTAGTCTGTTACTAAATAGGATTAACAACGAATTTTGTTATTTAGTTACATAATTTGTCTATCACTAATTTCTGTAGTGTTTTAATGGTATAAAGTATCTTTTTTAACCCCTTTCCTACGAGCGTCCATCTTTGCTTTCTTGGTGACTCGAACTCACAATCAAACTTTTCGTGGAAAAATATTGTTATCATAAATATTTTCTTTTGTCTAAAGAGGTTATGAATTAATCACTCAACTTTTGTCTAAATTTATTTTATTTTATTTTATTATTTTAGGAGCAACACTTGGGAAAGGAGTTAATAGAGGACTTGCAACATTTTTAGCTGGTTCATTAGGTGTTGCAGCTCATAGACTTGCTACCTTTACAGGATCAGACAAATTGCAACCAATAATACTTGGTTTATCTGTTTTTTCAGTAGGTAAATCAACGTTTTAATACTGACGTTATATATAACTTAAATTCTATATTTATTTGTGTAAGTACTATAAATACCTAACAAGTACTTTCATGTGATTAATTTTGGTGATGGGTTAAAACAGCTACGATAGCAACATTTTTGAGATTCGTACCAAAATTGAAAGCCAGATATGACTATGGCATTCTCATTTTTATTTTGACGTTCTCAATGATCTCCGTCTCGGGGTATCGGGACCCTGTGGTGCTCGATAAGGCGATTACCCGAGTAACTACGATCCTTATTGGGGGCGCGGCGGCGATCATGTTTAATGTGGTTATATACCCGGTATGGGCTGGTGAAGATCTTCACAATTTAATTGCCACAAATATTGAAGATCTTGGAATTTCCGTGGAAGGTGTCATCTTTCTTTTTAGTTCGTTTTAAAAAAAAATCTTTATGTATTCGATAGCTTTCTAATTTCAATATTTTACATAACATATTTACTAAATATATTATTAGTTTAAAATCATAAGATTGGAAATTCTTTCGTACTAATACTTCCTGACTAGTAGAACTAACACCGAAAGAGTAATAACAAATGTTTATTATCTAAACTGGCGTGACACATTTTAATATCCTGAACATCTAGAAACAAATATAGTATAACAACGAGTTCAACATAAAACCAATAATATGAATAAATGAATTCAACTCTAAATACATGATCTAAAAAGATGAAATTCAGACTCAACTCAATTTCAAAATTAACTCATGAAAATGATCAACCATAGTATAATAAGACAACAACTTAATTTTTTAATCGATGTGTGACATTCTAGGTATCACCAAAATGTTATCCTCTTGTCAAATCAAAATGACATGACTAAAGTTTATTTTATTTAATATAATAATCATTTAGAGTGTATTAAAAAATTGTTAGAAGTTGAACAAATCAATGTTATGTGTGCCAATAGCTACCAATGTTAGTGTATGAGTCAATGTAACATAACTAATACTATATATTATATGATTTGATATAATGACATGATTCTGAGCTTATAAAATTATACTAAATATTTTGTTTATTAAATTTGGTTGTATTAATTTGTAGGATATGGAACTCAATACTTCAAGAAAATAGATGTCAAGTCTGAAGAAGAACTAGAGAGAATATCTCTTGAGGAATACAAATGTGTTATCTACTCAAAAGCTAGTGAAGAAAATCTGGTTAGTCATAAACAAATTATATTTAATTAGCTTATTTGGTCAAAATTTTGAGAAGTTAAAAATAAAATTTAATAAAAGTACAATTAATTCAATATATATAGAGTTCTAATGACAATTACAATTTTGCCCCTAATAGGTCAATTTTGCAAAATGGGAGCCACATCATGGAAAATTCAGATATAGACATCCATGGGGACAATACTTGAAAATTGGAGATCTTGTTCGTGAATGTGCCATTAAAATCAATGCTTTAAATTCAGATCTTACCTCTTGCAATATGGTAATTATACTAAACCAATACATTCATGTAAAAGAAAAACATTTCGATACACGAAATATTTCACGTTTATTCAAAATTATGGGAGGGTCTCGCCTTAAGGGGCCGGGTGTAATGTGGAGGCACCCTATCCTAACACAAGCATTAGTAATTGACATAAGTCGCATAAAGACAATTTAATTGTTGATCCAAGGATCCCCTTCTTATATACACTATCAATGTACTTCACACAACCGGAATGTTGTGTGAAAGGAAGTATTGGAACAACAGTAAAATTTTCAGAGGTGCAAGGAGGGGCAATTGAACCCCGTTTATTGAACAATAACACTATGTAGCTAGATAGGAAAAATTAATTTTTTTTTTTTTTTGCTTATATATAAATTGTTAAATCTCTAGCTCCACCGTACCACCAGAATCAACCACTGATGCTTGTGTCAGGTATGTTATCTAGATCACAACCTTCCAGATGGTGACCCTTTTTTCAAACCCTACATGATAACATGAACGTGGAATGTTTCATACACCAACTTATGTGATATTAGTGTATCAATTAATTTATGTTTAATTATTTTTTTTCAGACACAAGAGGGAAGGAGAATAATTCAAGAACCATGCACAAAGATGAGCATAGAGTGTGGTAGTGCATTGAAGGAAATAGCAATGTCAATGAAGACAATGACCCTTTATCCAACAATTGGTTCACATATTCTGAAGGCAAAAACATCATCTGAAAAACTAAGATCCATAATTAGAAATGGTAGTTTAATTGAAGAAAAAGAGTTGCAAAAACTACTTCCATCAACAAGAATTGCTTCACTTATGCTAGACATAGTGTCAAATTCAGTAGAAATTGTGGACTCTGTGAATCAACTTGCTACACTTATGAAATTCAAGATTTTGTCATCAAAACCAAAGAGATTGGGGAGCAAGAGTAGAATCCCAAGTGGCAATATTGGAGAAGCACACCTTGTGGTTAATGTTGAGTGAATAAGGTCAAAATCGTAATCTTTGAGAATTAGTAAAACTTCAAACAGTTTGAAGCTCGATGGATGAATAATGAATATGTCTCCTTTATATATATACCATTTTGCACTCATAAAGTATATCATGTTTTTGATTATATGGCAAAGTTCGAACCTATGATGTGCACTTACCTCATACATTAACGCTGCATTTTTGTTATTAGACCAAAGGTTGAGGGGTCATTGTAAAATGAGTGAGATGGTATGAAATGAAATATATACTACTTGTGAGTGAATATAGATGTCAATTTCTTAATCTTTGAAGATCCACGGCTCGATACAGTTCGTAGATTTATATTAAAAGCTCGATAAATAGATAGTGAATATGTTTATATGCATCTTTAAACTTATTAAATATCAGGGTTTTGCTTACTTGTGAGTGAATAAGGTCAAATTGCAATTTATTCTTTACATTCACAAAAAAAAATAAAAAATCCCGGATATTTATGATAAATTCAACAAGAAAATAAAAGAAATTTAATAATTAAACTAAAAATAACATATCGCTGAACTCCTATACTGTATGATATAGATACAGATTTCCACCTTATATTAAGAGGTTTGATTAAATTAAATTTTCAAAATTATCCATCTATTTTGAATATCCTCAGTTACTCCTTTACTTAAGAAAACTAGTTACAACCATTTAATTCAAACAAATACAATATGTATCTTAATTTCTAAACCGTCAGATACATGTATCTAGCGAGTAATAATACATGTATCCAATAGACGAAATACGAAATCACCATAAATCTTAGTAATTAAGACCTAAACTAATTGAATTTATGTAATTTACCCTAATAAATATGTACAACAACAAACCGATCCGATCCAACCCTAAAGGCCCAAAAAGAAAAGAAAAGAAATAAAAAATTAAAAGGGAAAGAAACATCTGAACCATAATCATCAGTAGCAAACATTTAGCACCAAACATAAACTTTGCACCTTTACTTCCAATTCTTAGCTAATACCACAAATCTGTTAGAAACCTATAAGACTTTGCAAATTAAAATAATTAACTTTTGGGGAAAAGTCTTTTAAGGTTTTAACAGACTCGAGCTATTAGCTAAAATTAGAAGTGGAGGAGTCTTAAATAGAGTGAATTCAAAATTAGTCATAATTACAATATTCACTCCATTAAATACAAGATTTTCTACACATTAATGATTTATTCCTAATAATAAATACTAACAACTGAAAAGAGTTCAAATTGAATGAGATAGATTTAAAATTTATCTCATTCAATTTGAACTCTTTTCAATTGTTAGTATTTATTATTAGGAATAAATCATTAATGTGTAGAAAATCTTGTATTTAATGGAGTGATATTGTAATTTTGACAAATTTTGAATTCCCTCTATTTAAGACTCCCTAAAATGTTTTAACACTCGCCATTAAATTTTATTTTTCTTAGGCTCAAATCTGATATACCTCAGGAATAGAACAATCATGTTCATCCTGCTGTAACATTTCGTGGTTTCTTGTAAGATATTAAAATAAAATCAAGAATTAAGAAGTAGCAAATTTTAACACCAAATTTAAATTTTGCATACACCTCTACTTCTAATTTTAGCTAATAGCTCGAGTCTGTTAAAATCCTAAAAGACTTTTCCCCAAAAATTAAATATTTTAATTTGGAAAAATGTCTTTTAGATTTTTAACAGATTTGAGGTATTAACTAAAATTTGGAAGCAAAGGTGCAAAGTTTATATTTGGTGCTAAATGTTTGCTATTGAGGATTATGGTACTTGGTACTGATGTTTCTTTCCCTTTTAGTTTTTTATTTCTTTTCTTTTCTTTTCTTTTCTTTTTTGGGCCTTTAGGTTTGGACCGGGTCGGTTTGATGTTGTAAATATTTGTTTGGGCAAATTACACAAATCCAACTAGTTTAGGTCTTAATTACTAAGATTTACAGTGATTTCGAATAGGAAAAATTAGCAATCTAGTCAACATACCTAACATAATTAGTCAAAATAACTACACTTTAAAATATTTATTTAAAATGTCAAAATGTCAATACTTTACAAAATAATTGTATTCAAATATTATTATTTATTTTACCTTTTTTCCCCAAAACAGTCCATCATTGGACCAAATTCTAAATCAATAAGGCAATAACAGATAAAAAAGGAAAAAAAAAAACTACCGATTAATCTTCTTTCCCCATCATTCACGTTTCTTTTCCCCCATCATTCAAGTTTTATATTTTCTCTTTCTTCAAATTTCTTTGCAAGTCAAGAAATACAAATTATGAATGGTTCTCCTAATTTGTTCAACAAATCTCTAACTTAACTCAAGAAATATCTCAATTGTTAAAGGTAATTTCGATTATTTAGTGATATTTATGTTGATTTTATTTTTAAAATCATCGATTATCTTGTATTTCGGATTTTATATATTACGGATTTTTCGTTAATTTTTTCGATTTTTATGTGAGTTTGGTTAGATAATCATCAAATATTTATGTGTTTCAGATTTTTAGTCTTTTAAATATTTTTATTTTTATTTTTATTTTCTTGTGATTTTGTTTTAATATTTCAGATTTAGTAGAATGTGAGTTTGGTTAGATAATCATCAAATATTTATGTATTTTAGATTTTTAGTCTTTTAAATAATTTTTTTTATTTTCTTGTGATTTTGTTTTAGGGCTCGGGCGGTTTCCTGTCGGGTTCCAAATCTCCGCCGCTGCCGCTCTATGGATGGTTCCGAAAAGACTCTTCTTGAATCCATGGAACTTGATGAATCATTTGTCGGATAGAAGTTCTTAATTATCCATTCATTCTCAATTCTAAATAACCAAAATACAGTTTATTTATGTATTCATCCTAATTGCATATGTAAAACAAAGTTTTAATCTTATTTTGCTTATTTTGTATTTACAATATCACTTTGTATACCAAACAGTTTGTATTTAGATTTGATTTTGTATTCGTCCTAATGGTATACCATCAAGTTTTGTATTTATATTTGATTTCGTATTCATTCTCAATTCTAAATAACCAAAATACAGTCTATTTATTTTATATAGGTATTCATCCTAATTGCATCAATAAAACAGATTTTGTATTTTATTTTGCTCATTTTGTATTTTCAATATCACTTTGTATACAAGATAATTTGTATTTAGATTTGATTTGTATTCATTTTCAATTCTAAATAACCAAAATACAATTTATATACGTATTTATTATATACGTATTCATACTATTTGCATTAGTAAATAAATTTATATTTCATTTGGCTCATTTTGTATTTTCAATATCACTCGCAATTTATATTTCAATTACATTTTAAAATAATGACACGCAAAATCATATTTAAAGAAGTCCATCCGAATACATTTCAGATAAAATCATATTTAAAAAAGTTCAAACAAGTAAGGGTAAAAAACTAAGGGAAATATTTTTACCTTTTTTGAAATAAATTTTCTCCCATGATTCTCTCCTTTCTGTTATTAAAAATTTGTTTTCTTTCAAATTCAATAAATACAGTCAGCATTATAACAAATCAAAATATTGACATTTTCAATAAATATTGAAAGTGTTGACAAGGAGTCTTATTAGATGCTAAAATATTGTTGTTTTGAAAATTTTCCCTTTTGAATATTACTTTCTGTAACATATTTTGTCTATTGGATACATGTATTATTACTCACCAAATTCATGTATTTGATGGTTTTAAAAATTAAGATACATGTTGTATTTGTTTTAATTAAATGGTTGTAACTAATTTTTTTAATTAAAGGTAGTAATTGAGGATTTCCAAAAAAAGGGCAATCAATTTTAGAAATTTAATTTAATCAAATCCCTTGATATAAGGTGGAAATCTGTATCTACATCATATGACTTAGGAGTTCAGCTATATGCTATTTTTAGTTTGATTATTAATATTATTTTTCTTGTTGAATTTATCATAAATATCCGGAAAATATTATTTTTTTTGAATGCAAAGAATACATTTTTAAGTCTTTATATTATTTTTTCTTTCTATTGATTTGATTTGTCAGTTTTCTTTGTATACTTTTGATGTTATTTTATTGTGTTATATATTTTTTCCATAAGCATGCATTTATGTTAGGTATAATCGATTTTTCGATACAACTCCTTTTCATATAATCTTAGATTTTAGATTGATTTGTTTTTCGGTTTAGTATGTTTTCACTCTAAGTGTAGATAAAATTAAGATATGATATATTTTTCATAAAAACTCCTTTTTATGCAATTTTAAATCTACCTTATTCAATTTTAACTCTTTTCAAATTGTCAGTATTTGTACAACTACAAAGTATGCCAAGTGTTTTATATATGAGAAAACTCTTTTTATTTTTATTTTTTAGTGAACCAATATGTAGACAAAACTGAGAAACTAATTTTAGTGAAGACAAAAATGAGAAACTAATTTAGACAAAAACAAATAAATATTGTACTTAATGAAGTCGCTGAATATTGTTGGGGGGGAAAAAGCTGGAAACAACTGGCTCCGAATTTTTTTTCCCATTCGGCTATCGTCGATATTTATTTTGAGCTCGTACCTAATCAGATCCACATTATTTAAAACTCGTTAAAAGGATAAACATTTTTGAATTCAATATTTATGATTAAAGATAAAAAATTATATTCATCCCATTACGATATTTCGTGATGCCATGTAAAAATTGAGTTAAAATTTGGCACCAATTGTAACTCTTAACTATACAACTCTCCACTCAAAATTTTAGCTAATAACTCAAATCTCTTAGAAACTTAAAAAGATTTTCCCCAAAAGTTAAATATTTGCTAGCAAAGAAAATAGATGAAAAGACTCGTGTCATCGATCATGGATTATGGTGTGATGGATATAATGTCCGAGATTCGTTTGTTGATTTTGAACTTCATAAATTGTTAAGGGTTTAATTTGGAACTTCTAAAAAATTTAGAACCGTATAAATCGTTCCTTCATTAGGTTCAACTTGTTAGTCCTTCG